GTAGTGGTGCATGCCTGTAATCCCAGATGCTCAGGAGGTGAAGGCAGGAGGACCATATCCATATCCATTTGAGTAGAAGTATGACAGCCGGCTGGGAATGTGGCTTAGTGGTAAAGTGCTTGCCTAGCATGCATGAAACCCTGGGTTCTATTCTACAATACCACATGAGCAGAAAAAGTCAGAAGTGGCACTGTGGTAGAGTGCTAGCCTGGAGTAAAACAAGCTCAGGGATAGTACCCTGAGTTCAAGCCCCAGAACTGGAAAAAAAAATAAAAGGTTTCTGCTGACCACACATGGTACATGCCTGTAATCCCACAGAAGGATGAAGTCTGAAGCGCACCTGGGCTACATAGTAAGATGCTGTCTGGAAAGAAAAAAAAAAAAGAAGACAAAAAAGAAAAAGAAAACAAACTAGAAGAGTAGTGGCATCTCAAGTAGTGAAGCCCAAGCTTGAGAAAAGAGCTAAGGGACAAGTCCTGAATTTGAGACACATGTGCCCTCCCTCCTTGCTAAGAAAAAACTCCTTGGCTTTGGAAGACATCTAGATTGCCCTCTGTATTTTGGGTGTACATGAACAATCTATGAACAATCCAATCCCACACGTACCACTCAGGATAAAGATCAGTCAGAACTGGCCTGTGTGAATTTGAGCTTGGTTTGTTTTCTATTGTAATCTGTCTAAGAAGGACCTTTCTGAATTTTTTTTTTTTTTGGGTTGGTCATGGGGCCTGAACTCTGGGCCTGGACGCTGTCCCTCAGCTCTTCAGCTCACGGCAAGCGCTCTACCACTCAAGCCACAGCGCCATTTCCATGAATTTTGATTTTGATTTTTTGCCAGTCCCAGGGCTTGAACTCAGGGCCTGAGCACTGTCTCTGAGCTTCTTTTGCTCCAGGTTAGCACTCTACCACTTGAGCCACAGCACCACACTTGTGGCGTTTTCTGTGTATATGGTACTGAGGCATCAAACCTAGGGCTTCATACATGCTAGTTAAACATTCTGCCACTAAGCCACCTTTATATTTACAAAAACAAAACATTTTTATGAACTGGATGTGCTCCAGTGGTAGAGTGCCAGCCTTGAGCAAGCCCCTCCCCCGTCCCACCACAAAGTAATATACAACTAAAATAGTGGTACAAGGGGATTTTATTTTGGCATGTCCACAGATGTGTATCTTGGTCAGACTCATGTCCTCTGTGGCTCTCTGCTCTCCCTTCCCTCTCCTTTCCGACATCTGAAGTCTTGCTGAATGCCACCCTTTCCCGACTGTCGTTGCTTTCCCTCAAACGCACAGGAAATGTCTGTGTGTCTGGCAGGCTCTCCTCCTTCTCCACCCTCCTATCCCCAACAGTGCGGCTCAGCAAACAGCCCTCGCTATCCTCTCTCTTAAACATACTACAGCTACAGATCGGTTCCATTTCCTCCGTTCCTTTTCTTTTTGGTTCTAGGGTTTAAACTTGGCTTGTTGGGCAAACTGCTCTACCAGAGAGAACCACTCCCAGCCCTTTTGTGCTTTATGAAGGCCTTGTGGGGTTTTTGTTTTTGTTTTTGCCTGTGTTAGCTTTGGATCACCTGCTCTTGCCTCTGCCTTCTGAATTGCATACCCAGGTTGTTTGTTGAGATGTGGGTCTCACTAACTTTTTGGCTGGCCTTAAATCATGATCCTTCCAATTTCTGCCTCCTGAGTAACAAGTACCTGGATGACAGGCATGTGCCATCTTGCTCAGCCTCCATTTCCAATCAGCTGATGTTGAAAGACCGTGTTTATACATAACTTCAAATATCCCTAAAAAATTCCAACTTTTTCTCTTGAAACTTCTTTCCTTTCTTTCTTTCTTTGTTTTTTTTTTGTTGTTGGTCGTAGGGCCTGAACTCTGGGCCTGGGCACTGTCCCTCAGCACTTCAGCTCAAGTCTAGTACTCTACCACTTGAGCCACAGCACTACTTCTGGCTTTTTTCCACTTATGTAGTACTGAGGAATCGAACCCAGGACCTCACGAATGCAAGGCAAGCACTCTACCACCAAGCCACCTTCCCAGCCCCTCTTGAAATTTCTATAAGGCTTTTTCTTTTCTTTTCTTTTGGTTGTAGATCTTGAACTCAGGGCCTGGGTGCTATCCCTGAGCCTCTTTGTACTCAAGGCTAGCACTCTACCACTTGAGCCACCATACCACTTCCAGTTTTTGAATAGTTAATTAGAGATAAGAGTCTCACAGGAACTTTTCTGCTTGGGCTGGCTTTGAATCGTGAGCCTTGCAATCCTCGGATCTCAGCCTCCTGAGTAACTAGGATTACAGGCGTGAGCCACAGGCGTGAGCCACCAGCACCTGTCAAGGCTATGCTTTTTTGTTGTCACTACAAGGGTGAGGCCTCATGCTTGCTAGACATGCTTGACTGTTGCTGTACCACTTGGGACATTTCTCAGCCTGGCTTTTTTGCTGGTTATTTTGGAGATGGAGTGTCATGGACTTTTCTGTCCAGATTGGCTTCTTTCTTTCTTTCTTTTTCTTTCTTTCTTTCTTTCTTCCTTCCTTCCTTCCTTTCTTTCTATTTTCCTTTCTTTCTGTCAGTCGTGGGGCTTGAACTCTGGGCTTGGGCATTGTCTTTGTGCTCTTCAGCTCAAGGCAAGCATTCTACCACTTGAGCCACAGCATCACTTATGGTTTTCTAGTGGTTTATTGGAGATAAGAGTCTCTCGGATTTTCCTGCCCGGGCTGGCTTTGAACGGTGATTCTCAGATCTCAGCCTCCTCAGTAGCTAGGATTATAGGCATGAGCCACCAGCGCCCAGCTCCAGATTGGCTTTGAATTGAGATCCACTTCTTCTCAGCCTCTTGAGTAGTTAAGATTATAGATGTGAGCCACTGACACCCAGCTTGACATGTCTGCATAGCAAGTCTGAGAATCTGTCTTTACCTGAACGAATTTTTCAAATATAGTAATATGAGAGTTGGGGCTAGACTAAAAATTCTTTTAGGTTTTTTTTTTTTTTTGGTCAGTCGTGGATCTTGAATTCTGGGCCTGGGTGCTGGCCCTCAGCTCTTCAGCTCAAGGCTAGTGTTCTACCGGTTGAGCCACAGCACCACTTCAGGTTTTCTGAGTGGCTTATTGGAGATAAGGTCTCATGGATTTTCCTGCCTGGGCTGACTTTGAACTGCGATCCTCAGATCTCAGCCTCTTGAGTAGCTAGGATGACAGGCATGAGCCACCAGTGCCTAGCTCTTTTCTTTCTTTCTTTTTTTTTTTTTTTTTTGACGGTTGTGGGGCTTGAACTCTGGGTTTGGGCACTGTCCCTCAGCTCTTCAGCTCAAGTCGAGCGCTCTACCACTTGAGCTACAGCGCCACTTCCTCTTTTCTTTCTTTAACATGGTGTTTCGAATACCTACCATTGTCCTAGGTTTAATGATATGGCAGCAAATAAATTAGACAAAGTTCTTGGGATAAGAAAGATGATCAACCACAGAAATTATTTACATAGAATATTAAATGTGTAAGAGATCTTTTATTTTGAAGAAAAATAGAGCAGAGATGAAGGATACACCGAGTATTTGTGCATTAAAAATAAGGTGGCCTTTTAGCAACACCTTGAGAGAAGCCTCTGCTGACATCTGTGAGAAGAGTCCCATGCACAGGAGACAACAGTGCAAAGACTCTCAGGAGACAGCCCAGGGGACATCCTGGAGTGTCTATGGAACAGCTGGCAGAGCAGCCTGGCTGGTCAGCTGGTAGTGAGGTTAGAGGGGTAAAGGTAAGGGCAAATCTGAGCCATAGAGGAGATTATAGCCACTTTGGCTTTTCATTGTCCCTGAGCCTCTTTGTGCTCAAAGCTAGCGCTCTACCATTTGAGCCTTAGCACTGCTTCCTGTTTTCTGGTGGTTAATTGGAGATAAGAGTCTCATGGACTTTCCTGCCCAGGCTAGCTTTGAACTGCTGTCCTCGGATCTCAGCTTCCTCAGTAGCTAGGATTACAGGCGTGAGCCACTGGTGCCCGGCTGCTTTGGCTTTTATTGTGGTGAGATATGGAACCAAGAGAGGGATTGGAGCCAAAGAGGGAGGGATTCTGATTCCACAGGATCACTGGATTAAGAAGGGCAAGACACAGGTAAAATAGGAGAGATCAGTTTGGAGACCACTGCATTTATTTTGAAAGTTCACGGTACCAGAAATTAATCAGAAACATTTGATGTGTTTGCAAAAGCGGGGGGGGGGGGGGGGGGGGGGAGGGGGGGGGGAAGGAGTGGGAGCAAAGTGCTTATGGAACACAAAAAGGCGGGATACAATTATTTTTGGAATGTTCAACTTGTAAGAAAAACAACTGTGTGGCAGCTACTCTTGGCTTCCAGGCCCTTCCAGCTTTAATTCCGGCTTACACCTTCTGGGGTTTTCGCAGCCGACCTAGAAAGCACTGCAGGGTGTCCATGCGGCCGGGAGGTGGCGCCACGGGACCACGAGCCGCGGAAAGTGAAGCCTTGCAGCCCCGCCAGAATCCAGCAGCACAGCCCGCAGGTCCGCACCGGTGCTGGGGCTCCCCGAGGAGCGGTGCTCACTGGAAGAGGGGAAGGGGGCATGGTCACTACCCTGATTTCTTTTTGGGCTAGGAGCACCCGAAGCCGTCCTTAGTGGGCTTCTGGAACTCTCAGAGGCCAGGAGGACGCAGTCTTTTCTGCACGGTCATTGAAAACTGGAGAGCCTGAAAGGCGGTGCAGCGAGAACCCGCAGCCCCGCGCGGCCGGGTACCGTTCCAAACCCGCCAAGCTAGAAGCCGGCATCTACTACCGAGTCCTCCCCGGGGAGCGCCCTACCCGCGGACCGCTCCTTTTCATTGGCAGCTGGGCTGGAGACTCCGCCCCCTTCCCTACAGCGCTCATCTTTGATTGGCTCCGGAGTCCCGGCTGTCCACGCCCCCTCCCCTCGCACATACACAAGAGTCACGCGCCTTTCAGTTGGAAACTTGGCGTGCAGAGGAGGACAGTGGCCTCTATCTCCCCGCCCACTTACCTTGTCATTGGCCCGTGGAGCCTTGCCTGACCACGCCTCCATTCCAGCCCCCTGGCTGGGAGGGCAGGCGCTTGCTTTTGATTGGCTGGCAGGCCTGCCTCTCGCGGGAGCAGCTGCCTGCTCCTTTCCCTCCCTCTCCCTCCTCCCGCGGGGCCTCGGGGTTCCTCAGCTGGCGGCGTTGAGTCAGTGTCAGTCAGGGAGGTGGACAGTCGGGCGCCGGGCGCGGACGCTCCAGTGCGGTCTCGCTCGGGGGGCCGGTGCCTGCGCTCGCGCCGCCGCCGGGTGGGAAGGATGAAGCTGCGGCTGGAGCGGCCGCCCTATGATTGGCTGTGGAGCTTGTGAACCCGAAGTAAAGATGGCGGGCGGGCAGGCAGCCGCCGCACTGCCCGCTTGGAAGATGGCGGCGCGCCGCAGCCTGGGCACCCGCGGCCGGGGGGTCCTGCGGCCGGCGGCGGCCCGGCTGCTGCCGCTGCTGCTGCTGAGCTGCTGCTGCGGCGCGGGCGGGTGCGCGGCGGCGGGCGAGAACGAGGAGACGGTGATCATCGGGCTGCGGCTGGAGGACACGAACGACGTGTCGTTCATGGAAGGGGGGGCGCTGCGGGTGAGCGAGCGGACCCGGGTCAAGCTGCGGGTGTACGGGCAGAACATCAACAACGAGACGTGGTCCCGCATCGCCTTCACGGAGCACGAGCGGCGGCGGCACACGCCGGGCGAACGCGGGCTGGGGGGTCCCGCGCCGCCGGAGCCGGACAGCGGCCCCCAGCGCTGCGGCATCCGCACCTCAGACATCATCATCCTGCCGCACATCATCCTGAACCGCCGCACCTCGGGCATCATCGAGATCGAGATCAAACCGCTGCGCAAGATGGAGAAGAGCAAGTCCTATTACCTGTGCACGTCCCTTTCCACACCGGCCCTGGGAGCCGGCGGCCCGGGCTCCGCCAGCGGGGCCGTCGGGGCTAAGGGCGGCGCGGGGGTGGCCGGGCTGCCGCCGCCCCCGTGGGCCGAGACCACCTGGATTTACCACGACGGCGAGGACACGAAGATGATCGTGGGCGAGGAGAAGAAGTTCCTGCTGCCCTTCTGGCTGCAGGTGATCTTCATTTCGCTGCTGCTGTGCCTGTCGGGCATGTTCAGCGGCCTCAACCTGGGGCTCATGGCTCTGGACCCGATGGAGCTGCGCATCGTGCAGAACTGCGGCACCGAGAAGGAGAAGAATTATGCCAAGCGCATCGAGCCCGTGCGCAGGCAGGGCAACTACCTGCTGTGCTCCTTGCTGCTGGGCAACGTGCTGGTCAACACCACGCTCACCATCCTGCTCGACGACATCGCCGGCTCAGGCCTGGTGGCGGTGGTGGTCTCCACCATCGGTATTGTCATTTTTGGGGAGATCGTACCCCAAGCCATCTGCTCCCGCCACGGCCTGGCGGTAGGGGCCAACACTATCTTTCTCACCAAGTTCTTCATGATGATGACCTTCCCGGCTTCTTACCCGGTCAGCAAGCTGCTGGACTGCGTCCTGGGTCAGGAGATAGGCACAGTGTATAACCGGGAAAAGCTGTTGGAGATGCTCCGGGTCACTGACCCTTACAACGACCTCGTGAAGGAGGAGCTGAACATCATCCAAGGGGCGCTGGAACTGCGCACCAAGACGGTGGAGGACGTGATGACGCCTCTCCGGGACTGCTTCATGATCACCGGCGAGGCCATTCTGGACTTCAACACCATGTCGGAGATCATGGAGAGCGGCTACACTCGCATTCCGGTGTTTGAGGGAGAGCGCTCCAACATCGTGGACCTGCTCTTTGTCAAAGACTTGGCCTTCGTGGATCCAGATGACTGTACTCCCTTGAAAACCATCACCAAATTTTATAACCACCCCTTGCACTTTGTTTTCAATGACACCAAGTTGGACGCTATGCTGGAAGAATTTAAGAAAGGTGGGAAATTTTGGTATCTTTCATTGGCTTGCTCTTTCTCTCTCCATCCTCCTCCCTACTCGAGTCCTCTACCCTCAGACCAACCCCCCAAGGCGAGTTGACCGCAATTTCTCCTTCTCTGTCTTAATTGCAAAGTTGAAAGGGTGGCATGGATTTGGGGACGGATTGAACTAGAAAGCATTTGCAGGTTCTTTAAAAGCCCAAGGCTGCCATCAACTTTTTCCCTTTATCAAAAAGCAGGCTTTGTAATAGCTGCGTGATGCTTATAGGGAAAGGGGTGTCGGATGACGCTGGTTTGGAGGGGGTCTGCTTCATTCATTGTTTGAGTCCTGGGTTTGGTAGGTGAAATAGGGGCTGCCTAACGCTATGCACTTTGGTTGGCATCTGATCACAGGCATTTGGAAAACATTTGAATAGCTTGTCTATTTAATCCTTTTCCTTCTCCTTAAAAATCACTCTGATAGTTCAAAGATTGGAAGTGCATCTTTTTAAAAAATAGTTTCTGGGTCTCCCCCAACCTGTGGGGAAGGGTGAGGTGGCTGGAGGTTGAGGTACCATAAAAGCTTCACTCATTTTGAGTGTTACTGCCTTAGGAAAAAAATGATTATTAACATAAAACTTGGAAAGACTAGAGGTAAAAAGAAGATGACTTTTATGAGGCAGTGTATCTCAAGCTTTCTTCACTGTGTGTTTACATTTACTGATTTACTGACAATTAGTGTTTTTTCTTAAACCAAGCATGGTTTTGGCAGGAAGCTTGAGCCTTTGACAGTCAGATGAATTCCTCCGTTAATGATGGTTTATTTATTTTCTAACTCTATGCAGTTTAAAAGTGTTCTCTTTTTAACCTTGATGGCCTGATACATTAAATTAAAGCATGCCTCCAAGTCAACAGCCCCTGTTCCAGGGTGTTTAACAAGGAAGAGGAGGAAGCCTAGGATCTGATGTGTGTTTACAACACATCAATTCTTGTATTGTGGTATTGTTTGCTTTACCATGAGATGAATTATTGAAATTCTGAAAGTTCATAGGAAAGAGCTAGTGTGATTTTAAAACCTAGGGATAGCCACTTTTGTGACTGCTAGGAGGCTAATGCTGGGGCTTATATGAAAATGAAAATGTGTATAACCATTCAGGACCTGATTGCCCTCCAAAATAAGGTTCCTTCTTCACAAATAGTCATGATGGCTGATGGGTCTTTCCTGGGAAAGTCCAGGTATACTTGGTGACAGCTCCCTTGGGGAGGGGGGGCGGTCATCTGAACATACCGTGTGAGTGCTGGTTTCCAGTCCCTTTTCCTGTCTGAATGGTGTTCTCACAGAACAGGGACCACAGTGCAGTAATTTTCATATAAAAAAACAGAGCAGAATGTACTTCAGCACTTGGTAATTTGCATTTAAAAGCAGGAGGACTTTCTTCTGGATGCTTAAACAGCAAAAAAGAAAATGTTCAGCATCTCTAGTGGCAGGGCTTCTTTTGGGAATGTCGTTATTCTTAACACTACTAAGCTCTTAATTAAAGCCATCTACTAGGGTCGCCCTTCATTTCACAGCAATAGCCGTAATACAGAGAGATGTCTTGAAATGTTCGAAAATGCCTCTGAAATTCTATTACTAAATTTCCCAATACTGATGCAAATTATTGTGTTTTTTTTTTTTTTATTTAGAGTTTTTGCATGTCCGCTTATGGGTTACTAATGCTAGTTTGATACCTGTAGTTCCAGTTCCTTGGGAGGCTGAAGCAGGAGGAACACTTAACCTCATAAGACCAGCCTGGGCAACATATGGAAACCCTGTCTTTTTTTTGGGGGGGGGGGGGTGCCGGTCGTGGGGCCTGAACTCTGGGCCTGGGCGCTGTCCCTCAGCTCTTCAGCTCAAGGCTAGCGCTCTACCACTTGAGCCACAGCTCCACTTCTGGCTTTTTTCTTTTTGCTTATGTGGTGCTGAGGAATTGAACCCAGGGCCTCAGGCATGCAAGGCAAGCGCTCTGCCACTGAGCCACCTTCCCAGCCCAGCCCTGCCTTAAAATTAAAAACAAACACAAACACAAAACAATCTAGTTTGTTCTTCCTGTTGGACTCTTTTCTTTACATATATTAATATTTAAGCATGTGTTCCATTTTAGAACTCATTCATCCTGCTCCTGTTGAGAGGTTAAAAGCTTATTTTAATTTTTATTTTTTGGTTGTCCTTGAACAAATTTCCTGTGATGGGCTTGTTTTCATGAAGAACTGTTTTCTTCCCTAGTCCACTTACACAGTATTATTTGAAAAATATTTTTTAAATGATTGAGTTGCTAATGTTTTCCCATGAATTCTAGGAAAATAGTACTGTGTTTAAAGATCTCATTTTTGTGTGCATTCAAAATTATATACAGAATGTGATTGAGAAGATAGTAAAAGTTGAAGGTGCATTTAGCTTAGTAGAGCAGACAAAAACAGTTTAGTGCAGATTGGAAATTTAAACCATAATCTCCAAAGTATAGACTGGGTACTTATTTTTTTTTTTTTTTGGGGTCCGGTCGTGGGGCCTGAACTCTGGGCCTGGGCACTGTCCCTCAGCTCTTCAGCTCAAGGCTAGTGCTCTACCACTTGAGCCACAGTGCCACTTCCGGCTTTTTTCTTTTTGATTATGTGGTGCTGAGGAATTGAACCCAGGGCCTCAGGCATGCAAGGCAAGCGCTCTGCCACTGAGCCACCTTCCCAGCCCAGCCCTGCCTTAAAATTAAAAACAAACACAAACACAAAACAATCTAGTTTGTTCTTCCTGTTGGACTCTTTTCTTTACATATATTAATATTTAAGCATGTGTTCCATTTTAGAACTCATTCATCCTGCTCCTGTTGAGAGGTTAAAAGCTTATTTTAATTTTTATTTTTTGGTTGTCCTTGAACAAATTTCCTGTGATGGGCTTGTTTTCATGAAGAACTGTTTTCTTCCCTAGTCCACTTACACAGTATTATTTGAAAAATATTTTTTAAATGATTGAGTTGCTAATGTTTTCCCATGAATTCTAGGAAAATAGTACTGTGTTTAAAGATCTCATTTTTGTGTGCATTCAAAATTATATACAGAATGTGATTGAGAAGATAGTAAAAGTTGAAGGTGCATTTAGCTTAGTAGAGCAGACAAAAACAGTTTAGTGCAGATTGGAAATTTAAACCATAATCTCCAAAGTATAGACTGGGTACTTATTTTTTTTTTTTTTTGGGGTCCGGTCGTGGGGCCTGAACTCTGGGCCTGGGCACTGTCCCTCAGCTCTTCAGCTCAAGGCTAGTGCTCTACCACTTGAGCCACAGTGCCACTTCCGGCTTTTTTCTTTTTGATTATGTGGTGCTGAGGAATCGAACCCAGGGCCTTAAGCATGCAAGGCAAGCGCTCTACCACTGAGCCACCTTCCCAGCCCCTAGACTGGGTACTTATTATTTAAATATAGGAATAATTGGTTATTCACTTTGCTTTTTTTGGTGCTTTGGTTGAATTTGGTCACTTTAATCTTCTTATCAGTCAGTTAGATTAGTTCTTTTAGTTGTTCTTTTAGTTCTTTTAGTTGTGGGGCTTGAACTCAGGACCTGGGCTCTGTACCTGAGCTCTTTTTCTCAAGCCTAGTGCTCTACCACTTTGAGCCACAGCTTCATTTCTGGTTTTCTGGTGGTTAACGGAAGTCTCCTGCTTAGGCTGACTTTGAACCACTGTCCTCAGATCTTAGCTTCCTGAGTAGCTAGGATTACAAGCATGAGGATTAAGCCATGAGCCACTGGCTCACTAGCACCCAGCTACTTCTTTTATTCTTGAACAAAAAGATTATTAAACTCTGTTTTATTTAAACCCTGTTTTGACTCCTCTGAGAATAAGAAACAAAAAAATCAAAACAATGACATTTATACTTTGATACCAAATTAAAAAATACCTTGGATTTAGTATCCAGCAGTCTTCACAGTAATACATTGTAGAATAACACTTCACATACTATAAATGACACTATTTTTGTGTAGTAATACAGTTTGATAATGATATAATTAAGTTTACAATGCACTTTTTTTTTTTTTTTTTTTTGTTGGTCGTGGGGCTTGAACTCTGGGCCTGGGCGCTGTCCCTCAGCTCTTCAGCTCAAGGCGAGCCCTCTACCACTTGAGCTACAGCGCCACTTCCGGTTTTCTGGTGGTTTATTGGAGATAGGAGTCAGGAGTCTCACGGTCTCTCCTGCCCGGGCTGGCTTTGAACCGTGATCCTCAGATCTCAGCCTCCTGAGTAGCTAGGATTACAGGCGTGAGCCACCAGCGCCCTGCTTACAATGCACTTTTTTGGAGATAGTGTTTTACCATGTTGCCCAGGTTAGTCATTCTTTTTTTTTTTGTCAGTCATGGGGCTTGAACTCTGGGACTGGGTACTGTCCTTGAACTCTTCAGCTCAAGGCTAGCATTCTACCACTTGAGCCACAGTGCCACTTCCAGCCTTTTCTGTTTATGTGGTACTGAAGAATTGAACCCAGGGCCTCGTGTATATGAAGGAAGCACTCTACCACTGAGCCACCTTCCCAGCCCCATTTTTTTTTTTTCAAATATGCAACTTGAAACTTTTTTCTCTTTATTTCTAAATTAAATTGTGACATTATTTTATCAGGCAGCCCTCTATTGTTTTTCTGTGTTAAATAGCAATATGTGGTATGATCTGAAGAATTTCCCTTTCTTTTCTTCTAGCACCACCATTTCTAAAAAACAAAAATACCCCCAATAATACCAGGTGTAACAAACACCAGTCTGGCCAAATCATCATCCAGATCTCATTGAAAATTACCATTCTAATTAAGACAGTCTCTGTTGTATAGATCTGTTCAGAATTAGTGTTATTCTTTACTGAGGAGAGGAAAATAGAAGGTTTTGTAATCTGGAAAGACAAGTTGCCTTTATGTAAATGTATGTGAATGTGTTCTTCATAATGATTCGAACCTTTTTCACCTGGCTTCAGGAGATTGGAAGATAGTAATTATGCTAATTTTATA